GGGGGGGGGGGGGGTGTCCCTACATGCTTGGCAGCAGACCCAGCAGTGGACCAGAAGTACTTCCGATACTTCTGCGCAGGGGACCCCCCACCCCCGGCTCAGCACCTGGTGCCTCCTGGGTCTGGGGGGCACCCAGAGTCCCCCTGCAGCTGATCGCCAAGCCAGGGGGTACGCGGGGGGAGGGTCCACCACCAAGCACACAGGTACCTTGGAGGTACATAGAATAAAAACCATATAAAAGCTGTTTCTATGGAATAACGCTCTGATTTCAAATAGAGATTCAGCTGATTCTTAAAAAAAAAAAAAAAAAGTCAGGAGAGTAATCCAAATCAGCAAATCGAATCACTATCCCCCGAATCAGGCCGAATTTGAAGTGAATACTGCCCGTTTTGCACACCCCTAGTACACACTTGTCCTCAAACACTTTCATGCTATTTAGCAGAGGTGAAACTTTCTGCAAAACAAACTAGTTGTAAATATTTTTTAGGAATGCTAAATAAATAATATCTTGTGTACAGTTAACCATAATTAGGTTAAAACAAAGAAAACCTTCTACAATGGGGGGCAGCCACTCACACAAATCATATTGCCATTAACAGCACCACAGTACAAGATAATCACAGCAATGATATCTGAATATATAAACACTGAAATAAAATCACTGAGTCAAGTTTTAAAATTTAAAATAAAGTATTCACTGTCTATGCCTTCTGTACAATGTACTTAAGAAATTTTGTACATTTCCTGATGCTTTTTATGGTCCAACATTCACAAAGTTTTCTTATTAAAAAAAAAACATTTACCTGCGTCTGATTAACAGTAGGCATCAAAGAGTGGAGAGGTATGATAACAAATCTATCTGCAAATTAGAACAGTATGCATTATAATATAGAATGAAAAATACAATTCTTATACAGCAGAAATGAACAAACTGAACAAAAAAAGAATGTGTGTACAGCTATTGTTTACTACTACCAAGGCTATATATAGATGTCCCAGGAGAAAGCATTTCCCCACCCATGACTACAGACAAGACCACTGTCCTGCTTCAAGTCTTGCCAAAGTATGCAGGATAAATTGTGTTACCACATTTTTCCAGGACAACATGGTATGTGGCTGTAAGGTTATCACAGCCTTTTCCATAACCAAGCTGGTTAGCTGTGGTTGGCCATCTACCTGCAGAGAAGCAGCCATGCAACTTGGAAGAACCAGGGGTGTTTATACACATGCTCTGGGAGTGGGGGTGGAGAGGATGTTGCACTTAGAGCACCCAAGGGCTGCAGACTTGCAGTGTGGACCCAAGCCAGAGTCCCCTTGTCAGCCTTACTCTCTCATAGGTGCAGGTGATCTGCAAGTAGATCTGGCTATCAAAGCTTTAATTTAGCTATGGCTGTGAGAGGGCCGACACAGGGAGAGGGGGGACCAAGGCCACCAGGGGAAGCCCGACTGGTTGGGCTCAAACTTATCTGCCTGGCCAAAGCAAATAGATTGGATTCTGGGTGACTACATGCTGAACACAGATCCCTGCTGACATTCCACAGTTTGCATTTCATTCACAGAAATGATCAGAAACATTACAAGCTCATGGACCATTTTTTTGTGTTTCTCCAACTGAGAGCCCCTCTACATATGCATTAGATCCCATGATGCTTGTACCTGCACAATTCATATAATCCATACATGCACGGTATGATTGTGGAATCGCAAATGAAATCCCATCATACCTTATTGCCAGTGCTGCAGCTACTGTGATCTCCCAGCCACAGGGGCACCATGTGTACCCTCACAGCTGCTTTCCAACTGCAGGAGTGTGTGGCAGCCCTCCAGGGCTGGGAACTCCCAATGTTGGGCATGCACATGGACTCCTTCAACTGGGAGCTCTCATGAGCTGAAAAGACTGCCAGCTACAGAGGCCCAGGGCCACACATTCAAGTAATGGCATTATAGGAAGCAGTTACAAATTTATTACACGTTTTGTGGAATATCTTTGTAGCTTATTCCTTTTTATCATGCCACTAATTGATTGAATGTGTAACTGGATGACAACTTAAGGCATAATTAACTGGTTAATCATGCCCTAAATGTAATGTATAGATGGGGCCTCGTATGCATCAAGAGGACAGAGCAAATAGTTCTGTACCCAGAAGATATGAGCCATCATTATTCCAAGAAATGTTGTGCTGGTCTCTATTAAAAGACTTTTAAGAAGTCTTTCAAACAGCAAGACTGAATCAGCAAAGAGGAATGAAGACGACAAGCTCAATTCTCTATAGAGGAAGACAAGGTAGGAAAGTTCTGACATGAGACAAGACAGAGGAAATGCAAGTCTGAGACTCATCAATATGGAGACAAAAGCTAAAATATGGGAAGCCAATGGCATTGCCAACAGTCTCAGATGAAAGACACTACTAATGCAAAAATAATTCACGTTATAAAGAATGAGGAAGAGAAAGACTGTGAAAAAACGCATTGCCAAGTATGTAGGGATCTAAGGAACCACAAGAAAATAGTGAAGAAATTTTCATCGGGGAGGGGGAGAGAGACACGGACACAGAACTCTTAGAATCTATATAGGAAAAACAAAATATATTACCCGATTTAAACATGACTTGTGACATCAAGAGATCATGTAAAGTGCTAATGTTGTCCCAGCCTGGGAGAAACACCAATATTGCACCATCCTACATATAAAAACGGGGGAAAAATTGGATTATGGCTAAAGTTATAAAAGCATTTGTTCAAAATGTTTAGACAAAGTTGGGTATTATGAATAGCTGACATTTGAGACATCACTGAACAAAACATGGCACAAAACTGTATAAGCTTGTTGTTACAAAGAGATGGTTACATAACCTTTCTTAAGTTCTCTCAATACTTCAAGTTAAAATTAACACATTCCCTTGCAGAATTATTATAAAGGACATTCCAGTTCTTCAACATTCTGAGAAATTAGCAGTGCAATTAAATAAAAGACAGAGAACTAGCTGAAAAAGCAAGTATTTCTCCTCGCTCTTAGTTTTCTAATTGTTTTGCAGCATAGGATATGTGATTTTGAAAGTATATGGTTTAATATTCAATTGTCCTTTGGGGAAGACAAACAACAGATGTGCTGGATGAGGACTGAGTTATTCCATTACTCTTTCTAGAATTAACTTCAGTTTCCATGTTTGATATCTGTCTCTGGTGCAGAACCGTTCTGACAAAGTATATTTAGTTATAGTGAAAGTGGCCTTTTATTAGGGTTTCATGACTTATCGCTGGTGTATGCCTATCCATTCCATGGCCTACTTTCGCTAATAAAAAATAAAGGAATGGAACTAAAATTCTAAGTAAATTTATATAAAGAGAAAACAAGAATTACCATACTGGATCAGACCATAGGGCCATCTAGTCTGGTATCCTGCCTCCAGCAGGAGCAAAAACATGCTGCTGCAGAGGTGAGCAGTAGTTAAGTTTTTAAGCCCATTATTTTGTAAGCACACAAGACAACGGAATGTATAAATGTGTAATTAATTTAGACATCAATGGGATAGGCATATGCAGGACTAACTTAAAAAAAAAAAAAAAAAAATATACCAGTGTTGTATTCAACAGTAATGCAAAGCTTTGGTATCTCACAAGCAGGTAAACAACCTTAAGAAGGCAGAGATGTATCCTCAATGTTTGTGTTTAATTGCTGAACTAATATGACCCCATGAAATTAATTTTTTTTGAAGAAAGAAACAGGGTCCACTGTATTGAAATGAATTTGACGACTCATCTGAAATACGTAAATTTAAGACCTACTGCTCCATACAATTACGACAAGGAAATAAAACATCTCTCCACCCGTTCAAGCATTTTTTCCTAGCCACTTGTCCACTTAAGAAGATGGCAAAGCACTAGAGTTTAATTTTATATGAAATTTCTAGAGAGTATATAAGGTAACTAAGGTTGCTGTCAGTGTACCATTAAGTCAAAAAATGAATTCCAAACTACCTACTAACAACATTTTCATTTAGATTTCTATACTGGCTTCCCTCGATATTTTAGCAGTCATTTATTAATACCTCTGGGAATTAAGGTTTTTCAAATATCTCACCCTGCACTTTACTCACTACACAATGGTTCCTGCCTAGGTAAAGGATATATGCTGCATTTCAGTTGTTCAGTATATACCACAAAACAACTGATAAATGTATTTAGAGTGAGATTTTTTTCAAAGCTACTAGCAGGATTTAACTGCACAGTTTTCATTAATTTCAATAGTCTTTATCTAAGAAATCATTAAGCAGGCATTAAATTTAAGCAATTGCTTGAATTACATTGACTTAATTAAGTTGTACTCATTATTCATGGACTTGAATAGGAATTATGCATCTAAATCTTGTAGGTGACTTTGAGGAAAAAACAAACAAAAAACTTAGTTACAGTGTAGTTATAGAATCCAGCAAAATTTCCATCTACTGTGACCTCCTTGATGACCACTGACCAGTGTAGTAATTTCCTAAAGCATGGTGTCACATTTCAATATTACTGCTGTAACAGTAACAATGCTATGACAGACTTGAGTGCTCTTTGCTCAATATTTTACCTGAGCATTGGATTTTCTAAAGAATGCAAGTCTTATATATCAGTATATAAAACCTAAGTAAATGCTCCTTTTCCATCAGAAAGTGGCTTCTGGAGGGGAAAATAGAAAGTGCTGAGAAATAGAGGAGAAGGCTTATATGAATTTTAGACTACTTTTGGCATCAGCGTAACAAACTGTGTAACTATTTTAAATCTGTAATATAATTTATTTTTTTAAAGCTAGGCAGAAGGCAATCTATAAAAGGCGTCTCCATGCCTTGAGTCGTTCAGAGATACCTGAGCTTTTGTAGGCTACGATCTACTTCACCAGATGCACAGCATAGCATGTCATTTGAGAAAGGAGGCTGTACCTTATGAAAGCTCATGTCCCTTTCAAGTAGTTGGTCTATAAGGTGGTCCCCTATGCTGCCTCTGCCTAGCAAGGCAGAGTACCACTTAAAAAAAAAAAAGTTAAACTGAATGGGTTAAAAACTGTTTAGCTAGGGAAAAAAAAAAAAGAAGTTACGCTAGGCAAAAACTCACCTCTTCTTCTAAGGCAATGTATCTGATGAGTACAGCTATGAGGTCAAGGTCAACCTTGTCATCATCCATCGATTCCAAAGCAGCTATAGTACTTGTTGAATACCTATAAACATCAAGTGAATATGGAGGCAACTTGTTTGCATACAAAGCAACAATCATAGATCCATTCATAGGAATATAACCAGAAGGGGCTTCCTGGGTGATTCAGTCAAGCCCCCTATATTAGCTGGCAGTACTTCTACCCAATGATCACCCACTTCAAACCCTCACTCCTGCAACTATATGGCATAAATTCAGAAACATCAAGAGCCTCCTACAACATACCACAGATAAGAACACTATAAATGAGGGCACTTCCAAAGACCTGCCATTGCAATGGGAAAGGCTCTATACAAAACTAATTTCAATCTGACAACATAAAGTTAGCATTAATGTAGGATAATTCTTTTGACACGCTGGCATTATATTAATCTATATAGTGGGTTTAACCTAAATGTAATTTGCTGTAAAATATTGTCAGAGCTCTGGCATTATTCAAACTAATATTTAATAAAGTTGGATCACCTTACAGGGATCAGCAACCTTTTTCTGCTACAGACCACTGTTTCCAATCTGGCCCCGCACAACAAACGGTACAGCTTTGTCTCTCTAGGCCATCTAAGCCTCTTACATTTACTCTTACCACCAATCCCTGCTCCCAATGGCAATAGGGAGGGACAAATACCATGGCACGGGTAAATTCAGACACGAAACCAGGGAAGGCCATGGAGGGGATGGGCAGTAAGAAATAGCTGTGTGCCTTCAATCCCCCACGTGACCCAAAGCTTGATCAGACCTTGGCAGACCAGATCCACCCAGTAGGCTGTTGGTTGTCAACACCTACCCTGAGATATCCCAAAATAGTACAGAAATACTAAATACTACTTGGCATTACATCTTAAATGAAAGATTTTATGTTCTATTGATATGCAATGCAAAAAAAGGCAGACTATATTAATATAACCTGTCTGAATTAAACTAAATAATTTAAGCAGCCTACAAACATTCCATGCTTCATCATTCAAACTAATGATCTTCCTGAGGGACTTAATTCAAGCCAATTAGTAAAGACTTTGGAATACATTATATAGGCATCGCTACTCGTAATTATTGCAGTCCACAACAAAAGTGGCAAAGGTAGAGAAGCTTTAAATCCACAGTGGAGAAAACACTGGATTTTTGGGTAGAATGAAGGTGTGGATGTGCAGAAGAAAAAAAAAAAAAAAACACTGTACAGGATAGGCAATATTCTAGTAAAGCATATGTTACCCTGGTAGGAGTACAGCTGATAATTTGTCCTAAAATGAAAAGTCATTCAAGAGAGGAGCAACAGAACTCAGAAGGGAAGAACGCCCAAAAAAGTGAAATGACCAAAGGAGAGGAAAACATGTTAAAAGGAAAAAAAATGTGCACTTCATTTAAAAAAAAAAAAAAAAAGGGGGGGGGGGGAGGGGGAAGTCAAGTTCAAATGAGAAAAATAAAAAAAGAACAACTCTGGAAGTGAAATGTAAGACAGCTATAAGAGAAGTAAAAAAATAAATAAATAAAAGGAGGATTTGAGGAGAAAATTTACAAGGAACAGAAGACATAGTAAGAATGTCTTACAAACTTTAAAAGCAGGAAGAATGGCAGGAAATAAGTTGAGCTACTGGATGATCAGGATGTAGAAAGAGCACCAAAGGGCAAAAAAGGCATTGCAGAAAAACTAAATGAGTTTTTTGCATCAGTCTTTATTATGGAAGATACTAGAGAGATTCCCTTGCCAGAGTCACTCCTCCCAGGGATCAAATCAATATTAGGGGTCAGTTCTAAAGTGTCAACTGATGATGTTTTAGAGGACAATGGATAACCCAAACAGTAACAAACTGCCAGGACCTGATGGCTTTCACACAAGAGATCTGAAGTTGTGGAGCTACTTCCTGTAATATGCAGCCTATCACTAAGAACAGCATAGGTACCAAGGCATGGAGAGTTTCCAATATAACATCTCTATTTAAGAGAGAGCTGGGTTACCTGTGAGAAAGGGACTTCTAAGGAAGGGCTCAGCTAGGCCTTTGACATGACCACAGGACTGCAAGAGCCATAAATACAACAAAACAAAGACTCAAGTCGAGAATATCATTCAGAAAACTGGAAAAAGCAGTGTTTTTGTTTTTAATCTGTTTAAAACAGTATGAAGAAACGGTCTGCATAAAGTTGTCAGAAGTATTTTAGAGCCCACTAGAGTCATGCATTTTATTGATTGTGGAACCAAACCATCAACAGCATTTAATACAAAGAAAAACTGAATAGGGAAGGGGATTCTAAGAGAAACAGTAGCCAGATAGTTTCTTTAAGAGACAGAATTATGGATCATATGTACCAACAGGAAAATGCATAACAGTAATAACTTTGTCTACATTAGCCTTGGCACTGGCAGCTTTTAGTCTGATCAGACCTAGAATTACATGAGTCTATCTAAAATTTTTAAGTAGCATTTCAACACTTGGTGTTATGCCTCTCATTATAGGATTGTTAGTCATATTAATCATTTGCAGCTGTAGAAGTACATGTAATTGGTAACATTTGAAGCGCAGCAAAGAAAACTAGACTGACCAACCTTCCTTGAAGCTGTTTTAGATAATCTGGCCAACGTTCTCTATAGATTTCCTCTTTTTCTTCCTTTTCTGGTCTGCTTATGTGTCCCTGCATGAAGCCCTTTTTCCAGCGAGGTCTGCGATCTGTATTTTCTGGCATATACCTTAAGTGTATGTTAAAAAGAAATTATTTATTCATAATCAAATGAAAATTATTTAAAAAAAAAGTAAAATCTGAACATTACTACATGCATTATTTTTTCAATCCACAACCAGTAAGAAACATGAGAATATTTTGCTGCACTTTATATTACAAAAGTAGTTAAGAATCTTTCCTTACAAAATAGGCACCATCCTTACAAAGCATAAAAAATGACAGTCTCTAAATATACATGAACACTATTTAGCTCAGTCTAGCAGATTGAAAGTAACAAGATGATTATGCACCATCATCTATCCTGAACAAATATTGATCTTTTTAACAGTTTTTCCTCATATTAAAAATATATTTAATTGCTACTGATAGCACCTCACATTTAGCAAGATGTTATTTATGAAATTACAACAAAAACAACTCAGTTTTCCATTAGTAAAAATGTTTTCTTAAACAAGATACCTGCCTTCAATTCAGAAGCGTCAGCTGTCACTAGAAAGAGTGAATTGCCTTTCAGTTTAGTCATGGTGGAGAGTGCTTGGCAACTTTGGTAATTCCAGAGTTCAGCTGGGCAAAAAGTAAACTTCATTCTACATATGCACCCAGTAATGTTTGCTACCATTTCATGATCTTTACATTTAGAAATGCACTGACCTTAATTTTTCAATGACATCTTCCAAAAGATATTCCACTACAGGAAAAGTGAATCCAGGTATATGAAGCATGGGACAATTGTCTAACAAGGTAAAATAAGTAGTTCTTAAACAAGTAGTGCAAGACAGGACAGAACTATAGCACTATTCTGTATTTAAAAAAGTGAAGCTAGGCTAACATTTCTCACTAGGTTTTTTTATCTTCTTAACTGCATGCTTTTTAAATCTCTGGTTTCCAGGAAAATGTATTACCTTTGAAATGGGCCAGAAAATATTCACAGAAAATGAATAAATAAAAATACCATACGTAACAAGAGCACATGCTTCCCCATATTCTTATTAGTTGTCTGAAACCCAAACCAGAGGCCACTTGTAGGCTGGAATTAGATATGAGAGAGCTTGAAATGTTCATCCCTGGATCTTTTACATTTACTAAAACCTAAAGAAAAAGCCAACTGCTGTGTAGCAGCTTCTATTACATAGTATGCTCTACTATTCTAAAAGACATCCCACTAACAGAAAATGACAGTGGCAAATATCCACGATGGAATAAATCAGGGCCATCCAACTGGCAGACCCCTGCAGCCACCTCTCCCAAGGCCATGAAGCAAGGGTGTGGGGATGTTCCTATACAGTTGGGAAGGTAGGATCTCAGGCAGCCATGCACTGCCAGCACTGTCTGCATGGTAGGGGGGACCCTAGGGTCCAGCACCAAATGCAGCCTCCAGCCAAAGGGAAGCTGGACAAGCCTGGAATAAACTAAGGAAGCATTAAGATGGTCAGCAGTTTGATGCCCGACAGTAGTGTGAAGCTATTCCTAAACCAGAAAACAACTGCAATTATAGTGTGCAAGTATGGCTAAACTACTGTAATTAATATTACAATGCAGACATTTCACTTACCAAAATATTCTGAAAATTTCTCTGCATTCAAAGTAGCACTCATCAGTATTACTTTCAGGTCTGAACGAACATTTAGGAGATCTTTAATAACAGTCATTAAGACATCTGACTGAAGATTCCTTTCATGGATTTCATCAAGGACAACATGACTAACACTGGACAATTGCCTAAAATAGAGTACAAAGATGATTATATTCTGCTTAGCATATCACAGACTAGAAGCAAATGTTAAAGAAAAAAACCCTATAAATATCACTATTAAAACAACTAGTTCACTAATTATTTCTTATGATAATTACATTTTTTTTTTCCAACAAGTTCTTACTTGTCTGATTGAAGCCACTGTAAGATGATTCCTGTTGTACAGTACAAAATGGAACCTTGTTTCCTTGGCAACCGACTGAAAAGAGATGCATTAAGAATTCCTGAGTTCTTTTTTCCAAATATTTTACAAAGTACTTTAAAAGTTCAAAAAATCAAAATGTACGCTTTAAAGTGTCTATAATGACGGTCTGTATCATTCAACTTTACTCTGTTGACTCACTCATTTAGAAATAAATTGTTGCAGGAGGAAATTAAGTAAGGGGCTATGCCACAATATTCTTCAGATGAGAACAGACAGTCAATCTGCCAGAATCAGATTGTACAGCCATTATTTATTACCATTTTGGGATTTGTTTTTCCTTACTGCCTCAAATTATTGCAGCAATTTAAAACACAGTGCAAATGACTGCTGGAGACTAACAATATGGTAGAAGATTGTTCTCTATTAAGCAGTGTTTATAAATGAGACAGTGAGCTTGGGTTCCACAAATAAGATGCGGCAAACAGGACTAAGCTGTCAAAATCTCTCTATACTGTTTACGATCTCAGATAACTTGGGCCGTATAACCCATCTGAAACATTTTAGTCTGCTATCCATTTGGCATCTTCTAATTTTTTCCAGTTTTCTAGGATTAGTATACAGTATACTCTTAGACCATAACATTGTTCTGCTTCACCTCAACAAGTACCTCTTATCTAACTCTCACAGGGCCCAAAGTTTTCCAAGAAAACCATCATTTACCTCTGCAAGCGAATTTGGTATCCTGTACTCTTCCCATTACCACATACTTCCGCCCTTTCAGCAGCAACTCTCTCTGCAACCTTAAAATCAAACCAACATGTTAAAAAGTTACAATGGTTATCTGTGAACTTCTCATTATTTCTTAATAGTCATTCCCTATAATGAAGTTGTACATGCACTTGTTAAAAAAAACAAAACAAAACAAAAACAAAAAACAACAAAAATTATATGCAACAGAACTGAAAGATATTTTAAACATCTCCTTAATTCTTCGCTGTATGACATGCAATTTTTCCTGGGCAATACACCTTCTCCCTGATGGGTATTAATAAAAAATAAATAAAAAGAAAGAAGGGTTCTATGGTCAATTGACTTCGTTCAAACAAATCTCAACTTTAGTAAATAGCTGCAAACGTAGACCAAGACCTTCCCTTAAATACACAAATTTCTGTAATTTATGTACCAAAAGTGGTATTAGCATTCATGATTCCAGGACTACAAAAAGTGTAAGTCAATTGAAGTCAACAGTATAAGACAGAGGTAAATACAGAATAGATTAAGACCCACAGCATCAGTTTTCATTAAAAATAAAAATTCAAAGCATTTACTATTAGAGTTCTCAAAATGTAACCATTTAAATAAAATGGTGTGAAATTAGCACCAAAACTAACCCAAAAGGTTTAGCTTATTTGTCTTCAATGGGCTGAAAAGCAATCCTGGGAGAACTCATGATTTTGTAATTTTGATTTACTAAGTCAACTTATTTCTTAAGGATGACCACTACATATGCATTATGTCAATTTACAGGGGGTTTTACAAGTTTTTTCAGCTTTCCCCACTTAACAGTTTTATATACTAAACTAGGGTTGGGTATTTGTTTGGTCAAATAAAGATTGGTCAACTGATTGGTCAAATCTCAGTCAAAAAACTAAACAAATTACCAACAGGTCCATATAATACACAGAAAAATCACAGATGTATAAAAAAAAATACCCCCCCCCCCTCTGTATTTTCTGTGAAGACAACTGCAAAAAATTTAGGGTTTTGTTGGGGTTTTTTGTAAAATTGCTATAATCTTTGACCACTCGGAAAAAAATATCCAGTCAGTTGACTGGTCAGCGGCCAATATTTGACTAGTCAATTGACTAGCTTGCCAACCCTATATCAAACACATATTCATTATACTCAAAGAGATTAAGGGCAAGGAGATTTTTTTTTATAAAACTTTAAAGACTCTTTGTTCATTCTGGCTACCAAGTTTCATGCAATCAAACACGCTCAGAAATGTTCATCTGTAACTTTCAAAATCCTGGACAAAGCAAAGTGCTACAGTTTTCCCAACTATTTTAGATTGTGAAATTGCTTAGGCAAGGCTTAGCTGTATTGTCTTGTGACTATCGAACTGACTGTGAAATGAAGTTGTAAGCACAGAATCTGTTATTTTTTAAAGGTGTCTTGTTTGTCACAGAACCAGACCAACTCACAAACAAGGTAGCTAGAAAACTAGGTCAAGTGCAAACTCTTATGTTCTCCTTTACTTGTAACATGCTCATATAGGATATGGGTGTTAGAACGGAAAACCTAGCTAATATCCAAGCTAAAGGCTGAGAGGGGATCTGGCGGCTGTTTACCAACTCACCAGTGGAGGTCAGCGGGAATTGGGAGAGACTGTTCCCCCCAGGCACCATCAGGGGTTACTAGAAATAATGGCCACAAATTGTTAGAAAGAAGGTTCAGGCTGGACATCGGGAGATGGTTCATGATTAGGGTTGCCAGGCTCTGGAATGGACTCCCAAGGGAGGTGGTGCTCTCTCCTGCCTTGGGGGCCTTCAAGAGGAGGATGTATAGATATTTGGCTGGGGTGTTATGACCCCAGCACTCGTTCCTGCCCAGGGCAGGGGGTTAGATCTGATGATCTGTTTAGGTCCCTTCTGACCCTAAGCACTATGATCTCTGCAAAGATAAAGGGGATTTGTTCTGGATGAATTTCCTATTGTAGGGTTCAGCCAATTTTTGGTAAATTGGTTAACTGCTGTAAAATACCTTACTGTTAGTGAATAACATTTAGCTGCAAACCTGCAAAAACAAATTATCAACAAACTTCTGTTTATTTTTACATCTGCACAACTAATTAGGGGTATAGGTGTCTGTAGGAGTGGGGATTTAGGACTAATCTCTTTGGGCAGCACAAACTTTGACAGACAGAACAGAAAATGAAAGAAAACCAAAGCTGACTGCAATCTTCTTGCAGTTCTTCAATACGAATAGGAGACACTCCTTTCTTCCTTTCTTGCAAAAATAAATTAATATTCAAAAAAGTAATATAGTTTTCACGATGATACTTACTGAGATGGCACTGATCCTCCTTGGTTGTGTGCATACAATCCTGCAAGCAGACCCTTTTCCTCTCTCAATATAGTCATCCAGAATGAACTGAGTTACTTGTGTGGTCTTTCCACAACCAGTCTCACCACTTATCACAGTTACCTGATTATTATTTATAACGTTTACCAGTTCCTATTTGAAAAGGAAAAGAAAGCATTATAATAAATGTTATATTAAGTGGACATTAGACTTCAGAAGAATTTCCTACAGACTCAGCTTTTAATTAATCTACAAAAATGCAGTAGCAATGAATACAATGTTATATAATGGGCTAATAGGGTTGCCTAAGTACCAAGCTAGCAGGCATAATACGATTCATTAGCAAAGGCTGGGTTTAAGGCTGTTTGAGTCTCAAACAGCCCATGAAATTCAACTTTAGAAGTTGACACTGCAAAGACATGGAGAAAATGGCATTTAAAAATATATATTTTAACAGTACCATATTTTGGTACATTTGATTGTTTCCATACAAAATGCTACCTCTGACAAAAATAATACATTTCAGCATAATCAAAATAAGTTCCTACAGACTGGTGAAGAATTCATCTCTTCTGAAATGAAGTCAGAGCCAATACTGATGCTTCACAAGTAAAAGGTAACTTTTATTATAAAAGGTAGGATTCTTCAGAAGAGATGCACCAAGACCAACAGGCTTTCAATTCTAAAGCTCAGCTCAAAGCCATACTTTTACAAATGCTTCTCTACTTTTTTAATAAAAGAACAAGTACGTATTCAATTTTAAAATAAAAGTATAATTTACCCTTCTCATCCCATATGAAGGTAATTTTTCTCGGAACCTCTAGGATAAAAAAAAAAAAATACATGCAGTTGAGAAGAGCATTTAAAAAACAATCCAAGGTAAAAGATATAACCAATGTTGTCTACTATCCATCTTTCAATCAGAAAACAAAACAGCATATTGGTCTTGAGTTAAGAATTGGTAGGCTTAGGTTTATTTGCATGTTTAACCACAAGCACAGTTTCCACTCAGGGCAGGGGCATGGGTGGGAAAAGAGTATTTGCAAACTTAAAGTTAAGTATGTGCATGTGTGAGAGACTGGGGCCTTTCATAGACATTAGGGCTGGAAGGGACCTCGGAAGATCATCGAGTCCAGCCCCATTTTTGTTTCATAGTTTCATCTTCTGGATTTGACTCTTAAACAAATTACAAGTTCATACTCCCACAGAGAACTTGTAGGCCAGGGGTGGGCAAAATAAGGCTCTCCAGGCCATTGTACCCAGCCTGCAGGGTGCCTAAAAATGAGTATTTATCTGCCCCGAGCTGCCTGTCAAAGATGACAGGAGCCAGTGGCAGCAAGACCAAGGAGAAGCCAGCGGCAGGACCCAGTGGCAGCAGCAGCAAGACCCAGTGGCAGCAACAGCAAGGCCCGCCCAGCCGTGCCCTGCAAGCTTCTAACCTACCAGAGGGTCCTGGCCTGTGCTCTGGGGTTGTTCCCGCCTTGCTGTACCCCAGAAGGGAACTTGGGTAAGAACTTGGGGAAAGGGGAGGGGGAGAATCAGGGAGGACCGCCGGCACAGCGGGAGCCAGCCCAGCCCAGTTGGAAGCCACATAGTGCTCCTGCTGCACCGCAGTCCCAGCACCATGGCCATAGAGTGGCAGCCGGGGGTGTGGCAGCAGTGGTGGCAAGCAGGGAAGGAAGGGCAGCGGCAGTAGCCCCC